ACTGAGCCAAACTGGTTTCAGCAAGAATGACTGTATTTAAAAGCATGTGGAATTAGAGTGACAATGAGCCTTACATTCTTAAGTAATTTAAATAGAGCCATGTTTTTATTTTTTATTTTCATAAGTTTCCTGGATAAAGCAATGACCCTAGACTGCCTTCACCCCATACATCACTGTGCCTGCGCTTCCTGGGAGGTCATCTTGCATGGTGCTTTCATCTCTCCTGTTCTGCCTTGGCAAGAGAAAGCTCCTGCTAATTGGCAAAACGAATGGATTATTTTGTATCCTTTGCTTATCCAGATGAGCTAAGATGAATTGTCTCTCCTGCTTCCCAGTGCATTGCTTTGATGGACTACCGTTTCACAAGCCATGCTTGCGTATAGATGGCTCTCATTGCTACTTAGCGTGCACCTTGTTGCCACATATATTACAAGCTTTTTGATGACTGAGACTTCCGCCTCAAGAATAAGCAACACTTTCTGTTTCCTCTTTAGCTCCAGTTCCTGGATTAAGAATAATTCACATGGTTTGCCTGTGTGCGTGAACTTTCTATAAATCCATTTGTTACTCGAAGAATGTCTTGTCAGCCCTGGCCAGGGTTGCTCAATGATTAGAATGTCAGCCTGCACACGAAAGGGTCATGGATTTAATTCCAGAGCAAGGGCACATACTGCAGGTTCCATCCCCAGCCCAGTCGGGATGCATGTGGGAGGCAACCAACTGATGTGTCTCTCTCACATCAATGTCTCTCTCTCTCTCTCTCTCTCTCTCTCTCTCTCTCTCTCTCTCTCTCTCTCTCTCTCTCTCTCTCTCTCTCTCCCCTGTCTCTCTCCCCTTCCCTCCCTCCTTCCCACTCTGTCTGAAAAGCATTGGGAAAAAAAATATCCTTGGATTAAGATTAACAAAAACAAAACAAAACAAAATCTTGGGAAATGCTAGCATTATCATTTTAAAGGACAAATATGTTATGAATTACTCTGTGATTTTTTTTTTTAACATTTTAGTTCAGAGTTATGTTCTTTCCTATCAAAGCTCTGTAAAAAAGAGAATAAACCTAGCCCACAGTTTACTTAAATGGGAAAATGATCTATTTTACAATAAATAATCTTCTTTTAAAAAACTGTGAAAATGTTAGCCATGAAGCTCATTTTCCTGCATCACTTTCAAAATGTTAATGTCTATGGGAGACAATCAAGGCAGCTGCTTTTGGATCAGTTGACCCTATAACTCCCTTTTGTGAAATTTTTTTTTTTAGTTCTCAAAGATTACTAATTATACTAGCAACTGCCTTCTTTATCAATTGAGCATTTGTTGTATATTGATAGTCTTAGTTTATTTGTTTTTAAATTATATAGGATCAGAGTCCATATGTCTGACTTAGCTGACAGGAATAAACTTGCATTTTGTTTGTGCCTAAAACAGAATGGAATGATTTTTCACATAGTCAGTATGGGATGCATTAATAAAATACCACAAATGGTGGCTGCTCAATGATAGACATTTATTTCTTAGTCTGGAGGTTGGAAGTATGACATCTAGTGCCAGTGCAGTCAGTTCTGGTGAAAGCCTTCTCCTGGGTTGCAGACTGCTGTCTGCTCAGTGTGTCTTCACCTGGAGAAGAGACTGTGCTAACATCTGAGGGCACTAATCCCATTTATGAAGGCCCCACCCTCATGACCTAATTCCCTACCCAAAGCACAACCTCCAAATACTATGACATTGGGGGATTTGACTTCAACATTCCATTTTTTTGGGGGTGTGTGGAGGAGACACAAATATTTAGTCTTTAACAACCAATATATATGAAGGAAATCTTTCTTTTTTTTTTTGAAATTAACATTATAATTCATTTTTTAAATATTTTTTATTGATTTTTCACAGAGAGGAAGAGAGAAGGATAGAGAGAAACATCGATGAGAGAGAATCACCGATCAGCTGCCTCTTGTACACCCCCCACTGGGGATGTGCCTGCATCCAAGGTACATGCCCTTGCCCAGAATCGAACCTGGGACCTTTCAGTCCTCAGGCCGATGCTCTATCCACTGAGCCAAACTGGTCCCGGCTATAATTCATTTTTTAAACTAAAATTTTAATTTTTGTCAATTCTTATTCAAGGATATTATTTTCCTTTTTTTTTTTTTTTTTTTTTTTTTTTTTTTTTTTTTTTTTTTTAACAAGAATGGGAAGGAGGGGGAAAGAGGAGAGAGAGAAACATGGATGTAAAAGAGACGCATCTATTGGTTGCCTCCTGCACATGTCCTGACTGGGACCTGGGATTGAAACTGCAAGCCAGGTGCTTGTCCTTGAGGGAAAAATCAAACCTGAGACCCTTTGCTGTGCAGGCTGACACTCTAACCACTGATCCACCCAGCCAAGGCTATAATTTATTTGAAATGTGTTTTCCATTTTTCAGTTACAGAGTTTATCAGAATCCACTTTATTTTATATTGCAACTTTAAAAAAAATTAATGACCTCGTTATTTTGGCAAAGTCTCATGCTGTGGTCTGTTAAATTGTCCTTCACAGAAAGTAGCTGTCTCAAATAGGACTGGGAAAGCTGTTCTCTTAAATTCTTAAACAAGGAAGGCATCAGAAATGTTTCTGGGGGAGTAGTTAGGGAGTTAAATCACCCTTAAAGTGCGGGAGCAATTTTATTTGATGAAACTTGTTATCACACTAGCTCAAACCCTTTAGTTGGGTGGTAATTCCATTAGGAAAAAACAGTTTTCTATAACAAAGCTATTTCTCAATAATTGCTCCCATTCAAGGTAATTGCTACCACAAACAGAGTTTGCTTTGTGCCCTACATGCTTCCCATATGATATTTCATTTACTTCTCACAAAAAAATCTTAGGACTTGGTTATTGTTATTTCTGTTTAACAGATGAGGCAGCTGCTGTTCAGAGAAATTAAGTAATTTTCATAAGTTTCCATATTTAACAAGTGGCAGAGTGAAATCTGTTTGGCAGGTCTGAGTGTACAGCAGTTTCAAAATATTATTTTTGGTTGTGTAGCCATAAAATAATTTGGAAACCCTGTGTACCCATTTATGCTTTAAATTGTCATTTAGAGTTTTTGTCATATGTTTAAATAGTTGGGAAAGATGTAATTTCTGGCATATTATAAATCTTGATGGTAATGAAGTTTAGATTTCTTTTTAAATATAACCTATGTAATAAAAACATCACAAAGATTTGGTATGTCCTATTACTTTTTTTTTTAAAGTTATACTATGGTGGGGAGTCAGAGGTTAAAAAATCAATTGCAAATTAATAATTCAATACAATTATGAGAACGTCTATGAATAAAGATAAGGTGCTAGGAGGGCATATAAAGGGATTGATGCCTCATAGGATCAGGGAACACTTTCTTGACTAAATGATATTTAGTCTGAGGGCTGAAGGTTTGGATGGGATAAGCCTTCTTGGGAGAGGGCTGTTGAAGAGCCTGCACAAAGGTCCTGAGATTGGTGAAAACATGTTTAATGGATTCTTTAAAAAGTCAGTGAATCAGGAACTGGAAAGAAAGACATGGAAATGATCCAAGATGGGGCTGGAGAGGAGACAGAGGCCAGGTAGGACAAAGCCTTCTTTGTAGGAGATTTTCATGGTTTTGGTCTTTATCTCAAGACTCAGTGGATATTGTAGTGATTTAAAGATAGACATGAATAGTCATGCGCATTGAGGAAACTGGGCAAGAGAGAAAGCTGGGACATCAGCTAGGATGTTCACAGAATGGTCCAAGCGGGAGGCGCTGGTGCCTTGGGACTACGCAGTGTTTCCCAAAGTGTGGTACGCGTATCCCCAGGGGTACGGGAAGAGTTTGGTGGGGGTACGCCTTGCACCGGAGTTTGGTGGGATATGCACTGCACTGTGCTCAGCTGTGCCTAATTCTACGTTCTTATGAGTATGAGGGGTACTCAGTGTTATGAAAATTATAGAAGGGGTACACATATGTCAAAAGTTTGGGAAACACTGAACCAAGGTAATACCAGTGAGTATAGACAGAGTAGACACACTTAAGAGATAGTTAGGTAAAAAGATACAATATGTACAAGAGAAATATTGCTCAGGATCCAACAGAGGCTTAATATCTACGACCAAAGCTGTGTAATATAAACAAATCCCAATGCTTAGAGGAAGAATTAAAGATAAAAGTTTTCCCTTTTTTCTTTCATCACCCCTTATGGGTTTTCTCTTTGGTATTTTACAAATAAATGTTTTATTAATATGTAATATTACTATGGCATTTTTGACATAAAAAAAGGGGTATTCATTCTTCAAAAGTTGGGAACCACTTATATAAGAAACCAAATCACAGGGACTATGGATCCGTATTTGTGGTGTCACTAGGAAGAAATTGAAAAGCTTTCTGCTTTGGGGAGAGTTTCAGTGGCTTGTGGATTTTTAACAGGTTTCTTCCTTGTGAAAATCTGAAAATAAGAGATCTTTTTTTCTTTTTGTTTTCACCTGCTTTTCTGGAAACCACAGAATGTCTTGTTTTTCAGGTAATCCACTACAAAGTGTAATACATCAAAAGCGGCTCATCTCCATATGATAGTTCGGACTTCAGAGGCAGGGGATGAGTTGTATTTTCGAAATTGTTTAGTTAATATCGCCAGAATGACAGCGATGGATCCAGTGGTTCCACCTCTTATATTGCATTGTTCATCATGAAGAGGAAAACGTTTTTTACTTTTCAAAGATATATGTTTATAAGTAATACAACAACAAGTACACAAATACTATTAGACTTGAAAGAGCACTGAGAAAGGTGCAGATGAAATTCGGACTTATTTTATAAACTCACCTTTAAACAGTTGGTTTGTTAAGTTGTGCTTACAAGGCCATTTAATACATTGTTTTTGTTGTGAAATTTGTCAATTGAAACAGAAATGCCTACCATCCCTGCCCCCAGGTTTTTATAAACATGTCAACCCCACACTTATCTGAAATCTCTTTTCTCTTCTAACTTTAGTTTCTACCAATTTGGAATCATACATGGCTTCAGATGGCAATTTTCTCGTAAGTACCCTTTGGAACACCCTGGGCTTTAGATATTAATCGTGAGCTTGGAAATGAATAAAAATCTAGACAAATAGATCTTAAGGTTGGCTAGGTAGTTGTTGTCCTCCACATCATTAGCCACAATTGAATTGAATGATCCTTTGTTAGGTTGCAAGGTTTTCTTATGATCACCAAGCATTTGTTTAAAACTCCTACCTATTTCTGACACATAACCAGGATTTTAATGTACTGTACACGAATTGTTTCTGTTTTAAGTTAACTATGGTACCAGTGCAGCCTCTATGGGAACAAATTCCATTAATGATTATACTGAAATTGTAGGTTTCTTTAAAAATCATTTCATAAATTTGCCTAAATTAGGTAAGTCAACTGAACAAGAGTATTATTTCTAATAGATGAGAAGAGGCAGGGAGAATTGAGATGTTGGTATAAGCAACAGACTGTTTCTCACAGAAGGAGATTCAGTGTGGTGTGGGGTTGTATGTGTGCAACTTCTGGCAAATCTGATGACCTCACGAGTGACCCACAGGTCCGAATTTTTGGAGTAGAGCCAAAAAGCAGAATCAGAAGTAGAGTGTTGAGAGAAGGTAGGATAAGCTTCCTGCCAAATAGGGAACATGGGCAATGGTTTCTTGCTGCAAATTAGAGAATGGATGTCAAGGAAGGTTGTGGTGGTAGTGACAGGGAAATTGAATCAGACAGCTCCTGGAAGGAACACCTTACTGAAAAGCAGGGCAGAAGACAAATGATCTGCTTACTTTAACAATTTCAGGAGCCAGAAATAGAGAAGGCAACTTTAATTCTGATGCTAATTTTAAATGAAGAAAAATAGCTTGCTAGTGATAAAAAATGGTGGGAACTTTGGGAGAAACAGGACTGCCATAAACTAAAAAAATGAAAACATGAATTATAGTCAGTTCTGTACCCTAGGAAATGAACCATCTAAAACTTGCAGAAAAAGAAGTATGACCCATGGGATACAAATGGGTGGGTGTTGTTCGATAATAGAAATGTGAACAATCTCAACGAAGACAGAAAAGAACAGCCAAGAGGATAAACATGGACGCAATGAGAGGCTTTTGCTAAAATTAGATATAAAAACATATGCACAGGACGTTAAAGGAGGCTCCTACGGTCAAGGACAAAAGCAAATGGATATCGCACTATCTGTAAAAATACAGCCAGGAAGACTGAAGTTCAGAGTGCCCAAAGTTTATAAAAATTTTTAAGAAGAAAAAACCTATAGGCCATAGACATAGGTAAGAGGTAGTGAAGGGCCTGGGATGAAGGACGGGGGCAGGCTAGAAGAGGTCAATGGGAGAATAACAGGGGAATGAGTAATACTTTAAATAATAAAGATTTTTTTTAAAGAACAAATCCATACGATTAGAAGCATATGTGTATGTGCTATATGGGAAAATATGAAAAGGGAGAATTAGGACTGATGGATCACTGAGAAAGGTAATATAGTGTTGCATGCTTATACTGCTTCTTTCCCATTGCTTTTTCTCCTTGAAGAGGAAATGGAAATTAAGACAAGAGAAGACATAAGCACTTCAAATTAATTAATTCATTCATTCAATTATCCATTGAGAGATTCTTTTAATGTTCACCGATAACCCTTCCTGACCATCAGGTTTCAGCCACTGTACTAGGTAGGAGGAGATATTGAATTGTGACTTACAACAAGTTGAAATTTTCACATTTTTTTTTTTAAAAAAGAAAAAAAAAAAAAAGTACGTAATGCTGGATATGGGAACAAAGCCTACAGATGTGATTCCCTAAGGACTAACGTATCCTCCATATCATTCTCAATCTAGAGCTGTTACCGTGGTAATATGTAACCTGCTGGGCACCAGTGGATTCTGTTTTTATTGGTGGGAACTCTGGCTATTTCTGGGTCATTCTCATTTCATGAGCCAACCTCTACTCCTAGATTCAATCAGCTCAGCTCTCCCCATGTGTATATTTACCTGTTATTTTTGTCTTTCTGCCAATGCGTCTGGGCTCTACTGCTTAACTCTTAAGCATTTCTTCCAGCTGCTCTTCAGTGATTACCCTACTTTATCTTTCCATTCAGAAAATTAGTTCCATTTTCTGTTGTCATTTGTTCCCTAAATAAAATGGAACACAGGAGACCTATTTTTTATGCCAGGTAGTTTCAGTAAGCTTGACATATTTGACCTAATCACATCTTGGATTTCACTTCGTTTCCACTAAACTAACATTTATTGAGCTGTATGTGTGGCTTGGTGCTGGGGTATGAAGATGGAGAGCTTATCACTGGTGGGGAAGGGCAATACTTTTAAGGTAATTTTGTTGATTCTGACCTGAGCATGGACGTTGGCATGGTAAATGGTGTTAATAAAATTGCTCAAGACACTGGGTGTGAAGCATTTAAACTTTGTATGATATGTGTGGTAGAATACCATTGCTCTTTTTTGCTAAGCTGAGTTTGCTATTTGATGGTATTCTTTTCTGTCTTCTGAAGGGAGACAGCAGAATTTTCAAAGCTAAAACTTCACATAGAGTCAAAGATATTAACTCACCAAGTTCTGCTGGTTTTACCTCCTAAATATTTCTCCACCTTCATAGACAAACTTGAGCTTCCCTCTGCCTACCGGCTTCTTTGCCTCTACACCTGCCCCCTTCCAATCCCCTGCCACACGACACCAGAGTGAATTTTCCTAACCGCAAACCTTCTCATTATGCCACTCATCCGCAGACATCTGCTCCATGGCTTCGCACTGGCTTTCGGGTAAGCTTTATACTTGGGAACGTAATTGAGAAGAGCCCTGCATGATGCCACTTTGCTACTCAGAACCGGTTACCACCCACACTCTGTGGTTGATACCTACTGGGTCGTACCTGCATGCCATCTTAGACCCACTAGGCACAGGTCTTTATCTCTCAGATCTTTGTTTTTATCAGCTCATCAAGTGCTTTCCTGGCTCCCCAGTTCTGAGTAAATGCTATAATGAGCTATAATACATCACAGCCCCTCTGTACAAACCTTATTATCCGTGTTTACCTCTATGTCTTCTGTGCTGGATTGGGATCTTGCTTGGTGTTGAATCTCTAATCCTTGACAGTAGTTTTTCAGTAATCACTAATTTGGGTAGTTGAATAAACAAAAACTATAACTTACCAAATTGTGGCCTGAAAAAAAAGAATGAACGAAATCACCCTGAGAAACATCACAGCTTGTTGAGAAATCTCCAACATGATTAGATTTGGTGCAGTCTCTAAACATCTCTAAAAACCCATTTGTGCAGTTCTTGATATTTATAAGGCTTTCTGTACATTACACTGTGGTGATAACAAAGTATTATACACTAATTCAGTATTGCTCATTTTCTTTTATGATTCATTGTTCACGTAGATAAGCACAGAGACAAACAAAAAAAAGGGAAATAAATAACAACCAGCATATATGAATCTTCAAAGCTTCATTAAGAAAGTTCCCTGGTCTCCGAAACCGGTTTGGTTCAGTGGATAGAGCGTTGGCCTGTGGATTGAAAGATCCCGGGTTCGATTCCGGTCAAGGGCATGTACCTTGGTTGCAGGCACATCCCCAGATGTTTCTAACTCTCTATTTCTCTCCCTTCCTCTCTGTTAAAAAAAAAAAAAAAGTGTATGTGTATAAAATCTGAGACCAGGGAACTTAATATATATATATATATATATATATCTTCCCTGGTCTCAGATTTTAGCAGCAGCATCTCCGGTAAGAAAGGCAGTTAAAGCTGACAGGCTCCAAGGGGATGCGGCCCATTATCTCCTTTACTGTTGTACATAATTCTTCCCCTTTCAGCATCTGAGATTTCTCCCTCTGACAATGGCTCTCGTGGGGAAGAGATGTCAGAATGATCTTAGATCAAAACTTTATGGCAGTGTTTGCTCAAGAATTCCTTTCAATAAAACTCCTCCATTAAATAGCGCCTGAAAAGAAAATGTCAAGTGATAGCGTTTTCCTGAAACAGAAGGCACTGCGTGTCAATCGTGGTGACTTGGCTGGGTGTTCACGCTCCTGAGGGCCAGCTCTCTGACTGCCAGGGACTCGCACTTCTAGCCCTGTGGTTGGGTGACCTGCCTGTGCCTGGCGTGAGCTGCCATTGCTGGCATGAGCAGTCTAAAGCACACTGGTACTTGTCGTGTTTGCCTCACAAGAAAGTCCTGCTTCATTCCTCACAGAACATGACTTGGTGCCTGGTCTTTATGTGTCCTGCATGCGTGAATAGGCCAGATAGGATATCAGCCACCATGGGCACCTGCTCTGCCCCTTGCTCCTTCTCCATGCCATGGTGTGTGCCTCAAGGATGTGATGATATTCAGAGATGAAGGGAGGAATACATATTTTCACTTCTTTCAATCAATTCAAAGCCGCTGAGATTGTGGCAGCTTGTTTTTTAAGCTACATCAACGAAAGCCCGTGCTGAACTGGCTGAGCCAGGGCTGCTGTGATAGGCCTGCGCAGGGCTCACTCTCAGGAGGCCATTTAACGACCCACATGCTGTTAAATCTCAGGTAGGACTTCACGCAAGAGGGGCATGGCAGCCCGTCTGGGTAGGGGCCCGTTAGCTATCACTGCAACAACTCTGTCCCTCCTTCACAGTAGCTTTCTCCAGCCCGTGCGTTTCTATTTTTGGGTTCCAGATTCTTAGTAGTTGGAGGATATGGTTAAAACAGGATGCTGGAGAAAGCTACTGTGGCTTTTGAGGAAATCATAGTTTAGATCGAAGTAGAGATTTGTTTGGTACAAGTCCATTTCGCCTTCAAGGAAACACCAAGGCTCAATTCTCCAGGTGGGTTCAAAGCGAGTGTCAGTCAACTGCAGGGGTTTTTCTCTGGTGTGCGCTGCTTTGGAGGTGAGAAAGGTGTTGGACCAACTTTTATATTGCTTAACTCTACTGATGTTATTTATGAGTGAAGGCATTCCTAATCTCTGAATAACCAAGCACTAGATGGCTCTTCAGCTATTTGTTAAATCTCTATCC